CCTTGGGCGGATTGGATGTTCATCGCCCAATCCTTTTCTGGATAGTTGAGAGAGAGTTCTTCAAAGGTTTTGTAAAATAAGAACTAATTAATAATTTAAATTAATTTAAATAAGAAAACAACAAAACCGGAATGATTGAATAGGGTTAGGGATGTCCTTAGTACATCATAGGGGTGCCCTTAGGGGTTGTTTGGCAATTGCTGAATGATTTGGTGCAGAATGATTAAGTGGTCAGAATGATTAAGATATTCTCATGATATTATGCAAAATGAAATATAATTGTTTAGTAATTGTGTACAACGAAATTAGGGCTCTTAATGGTTAAGGGAGATACAGGATACAAAATCATTCAGAGGGTTTTATAACCATTAAGAGGCAAGATACAAAATCATTCAAATAGTTTTAGAACCACTAAGAGGCGGACTTTTTTTCTGCCAAACAAGATTCACCTCTTAACGATTCAGATGTTGCCTCTTAATGGAACTATTAAGAGGTAAACAAACAACCCCTTAGTCTTCCTCAAAAATTATAAAAACATATTTAACAGGTTTTTTAAAGCATTCAATAGGTGTGTTATTTTAAAGTTTCTAGAGATTTGAAAAAAATTACTCCAATAGTTATGTTAAAGTCAAAGACGAAGCTATGTATTTTCGAGCAGACTCATGTGCATCGTTTTAACTTATTTTCGCAAGTAGAATTTTTTTTTGGTATGAAATGTGTACCTGTTAAACTTTGAAGGGTGTTCAGAGATACTAGAAATATAAGGAACATCAACCAAAAAACCGAAAAAAGTCTCTTGAAATCAATCAAAAATACTTTAAAAAATACCCTGAAACGGTGGAATACAGCTAAAAACATATCGGACGACTTTATTGGCATTTGATCCATCTTAAAGATGCACCCATTTGACAAAATTCTAGAGTATCGACTGGAGATGCTTTTACAGTCTATTTTTATATCATTTTTAAGTTATATTTTTAAATGGTTTTTTTTAATAATTGATTATATTAATTTTTAATACATAAACTGTCATGAATGATCATATGGGACAAGAGAATTGAACATGGAGACAGATCTAGAATTTTTAACAATGGCAATATGGCATATTGAAATGAATAACTTAATATATTTCATATTTATTGTTGAAGTTTTAATATTTATGGTTCATGTAGATGGGTTAGGTTCATGTGAGATCAACATGTTTTCGTGAAATTCTGAATCCGTATGACCATTTTTTTACACTTGAAATTTCACAACAAAATGTTGTGAAGGTAAAAAAAAAACTTTTATAGCGTTTTGTTGTGAAGTTTCAAGTGTAAAAAAATAATCTCACGAAAAAAAAGTTGGTCTCACGTGATCCCAAGCCTCGTGTAGATAAATTTATGGTTGCACATTTAATGGCCCACAAATATTACATTTAACTCCAATTTTTTTGTTTCACAAACAACCAGATTTGCCTCTGAAATAAAAATAAAAAAAATCAAACATTAAGCAAATTAAAGCAAAAAAGCGTGTGAAATTTTTCAAAATTGAAAAACCCTCCAAAAATGATTAAGATTAAAAAGAAAATAATTTTTATTATATTTCTATGAAAAAACACCTGAAATTAAGTAATTACAAAAAAAAAATGTTTTTATTAAATATATAAAAAAATTAATAATATAATTAATGTTATAATAAAACTCTAAAGATTTTAAATTTAGAGCAAATTACATAAAAAGTAATGTACTTTAACTTGATTCCTATGTTAGGATAACATACTTTCAAAACTTACATTTTGGTATCTAAAATGTAAAGTTTTAAACATTTAAATATTCGGGTAACCGGTTGAACCATTAACCAGTTATCATGTTGATGTGGCAAGTAATGTGGTATCTAACTCAGTATTATTTGCTGACATGGATGTCTTAATCTAAAATTAGTTTTTATGCATTTTGGTTTCTTAAAAGAAAAAGTTAATATTTCAACTAGTTACTCGGATAGTTGAATATTTAAAACTTTACATCTTAATTATCAAAATAAAAGTTTTGAAAGTACGTTACGCAAAATAAGAATCAAATTAAAGTACGTTATTTTTTCATGCAATTTGCCCTTAAATTTAAATTATCTATTAAATAAATATTGTCATAATAGATTATATAAAATACATGTATACAAAAAAAAAATTAAATTATTTAATTTATAAAAAGGAAAAAAATTGAGTTGTTAATTAGGGGGATGATTGGCTAATGCATGTAACCCTAATCATTACTTCCATGATTATTGGTTCTTTTTTTAATTATAATTTTCTTTAAATACAACATTTTTTTGTATTTATTTTGATTTTCAGACTACTGTAGATAAAAAGCATAAACTGTAGGGACCAAATTTACAATTTATAACCACAAAGATTGTATCTGATTGGTTTGAACATGGGTTCCAAATGTCAAAAGTGTCTGGAGGTCTCAAGTTCAAATTCAATGATGGACAAAAATACCCTTATGGCCACGGAGATTCAAATACGGTGACTATGAGTTATCCGTAAAGCACGTGGTTGTCTTGGGATTAGTCGGGTCGCATAGCGGGTTGGATGTTCAGGTTAATAAAAAGAATTACAATTTACATTTTCGGTTTTGGAATATTATTGTTTGCAAATTTATTTATTTCTAACCGACAAATTTTCTAAAACAGAGAAAATGTGTTTTTTGTTCTTTATTTTGCTCCAATAGTTTATGTATATTGTTATCTGAAGTAGAGAGAACTAAATAAAGTTTTAAGTTTAGAGAATTCTCTAAAACTTGATGTGTTAAAAATAAGTTAAGAGAACATCTTTAAGTTTTATAATTTATAAAAGAAGACCCTAAAATTTCATAAATTGCAAGAATGAGTTTGATTTGAGTTCGAGTTAAAGAAATTTCAATCGAGTTCGAGTCAAGTTTAGTTTTAATTACTCGCGGGTTTTCGAGTCAAATTCGAGTTTGAGAAATGGCTATCGAGTTCGGTTGAGTATACCAATACTCGAACTCGACTCACATCATTTACCCCTACTCCTTCGTCCTAAATTATTACATTTTAAATAACAGTTTTACCCTTAATTATAGGAACAAAGAACATTGACTTTCTCGATCTTATTAAACTCGTGTTTTTTCATGTTTTGCATAAAAACCACATGTTTGTTGTTTATTGTTTCGTATTTTCTTCTATAAAAACATGTTGATTTTTAAATGTCAACGTTAAATCCTTTATAAACGTACGCATCTAACGTTACAATAAACATAAACCTAAACGATAGTAAAATTAAACAGATGGTGCATTTTGAGAATAATCAGTAAGTAACAGTAATTTCTTTTGGTTAAGAAATTAACTGTACCAAACAAACCTGATGACCAACACCTAGAAGTAATCTCTTGGTTGCACGGAGCTTGTTTACGTAAATACCCTCAACTTGTAAACAGTAAAGCAAGCTACAACTGAGAGAGTGTACAAGCAAGCAATATATATTATAACAGTAAGAAAAAAAAAAGATGAGGTAAAGTTAACAGATAAAAATAATAAAGAAAACATCAGATATAATACTGACAACTACTAATATAAGAAAGAAAATTAGTTTAAATTTAAGAAAACAATTGAGTTTGTCTTTTAAAAAGTTTGGTAATATGCTCAAAAGTCAAGAAATAATGAGTTTGACAATATGTCTTCAATTAAGCTTGTCTAAGTGAGCTTTGGGAAATATGCCAAATGCACCAATAAATGTACCAAACTCACAAAGAGTTTTTGTTCTAATAGTATTTAGTAATTTTAGGGGTATTTGACAGTTGTTGAATGATTTGATACAAAATGATTAAATGGTCATATGATTAAAAGACTCTTATGATATAATGCAAAATGAAATATAATTATTTGCAATGAAATTAGGGTGTTGAATGGTTAAAAGAGACTCAGGATACAAAATCGTTCAAAGAATTTTGGGGTGTTTGGGATTGCTTATTTGAAACAATATGTGTTTTCTACAAAAGTTCTTATCAACTTATTATAAGTTAGAATGGTTTAATTTCTTCAAAAACTTCTTATTACCAGTTTGGCACCGGTATAAGTTGTTTATCTAAACGCTTAAAAGTGTTTATTACCGGTGTCACACCGGAATAAGTCAATAAGTTGTTTTTATAATCAATTTCAAACAGCCCCTTTAGAATCATAAAAATACAGACTTTTTTTATCTGATTTAAAACACTCAAAAAAAACTTATAAATACATCAGAAAGTCATTTTATAAATTTAGTCTCTATGGTTTATCAAAAATAAAATTTCTCTTTGTATTTTGAAATTATTAGAAAACCATCATGAACGTCCAAATTTAATCTCTCCCTCAAACGATCATTAAATAAGAAGTATTTTTGTATTTTTATCAATTTTGTCTTTTACCCAACCAAATGAACCAAATAATAAAATTGATTTTGATCAGATAAAAAAAACCAATATTATACAAAAATATCCCTCATTTAACAAAAAATTTTAACAATCTTTTGATGACATAATTTACATCTTCAAGGTTGTTTGTTTACCTCTTAATAGTTTTATTAAGAAACAATCTTTGAATCGTTAAAAGATAAATCTTGTTTGATTAAAAAAAATCTATCTCTTAATGGTTCTAAAACCCTCGGAATGGTTTTATATCCTAGATCTCCCTTAACCATTTAGAGCCTTAATTTCATTATACACAATTACCAAACAATTATATTTCATTTTGCACTATATTATGAAAACCTCTTAATCATTCCGACCCACTTAATCATTATGCACCAAACCATTCAGCCTCCTCTTTACATTTGACACCAAAAACTAGCAAACTAGAACCATATCAAAAAAAAGAATAACCAGGGGGATATGTTAAGTTGTTAACCATATTTATACTTATAATCTAAAACTGGGCTTATTTTGTTTTTAGTTTAGCCCCCTATTAAAAGACCATCATATAACAATCTTGATAATGTAGTTGTAGTATAAGATACTTCTGTGCAAGGCTTATGAAGGAGCCAGAAAGTAATCTAAGATGGTTTTTCTTTTTAAAGACGGTGGCGGATTCAGAACAGAAGACGGGCTGCCTAACGTAGCATCTGGTGATCCGTCACATGGTTCACGGATATATGATTTGGATGACTGTTTCCCAAGGGATTCAGGAGTTCGCATTTCGGGATTTGATGATGGGTTGGGAGAGCTTATCTGGACCAATGGTTCAAGTGGTGAGTCGGGTTCAGGTTCGTTTGTGAAAAGCATTGTACGATCGGTCTTCGGAAGTGCAAATAGTCTCCTTCGAATGGATGAGGTTGATCTTGTGTTTGAATAGCAACTGGTGTTGATGTTCCAAAGCCGGACCTGACATGTGAATACGTATGAGAACGAAGCCAACTAAAAAAACCAAACCAAACCAAACAAACCCAACTACATAAAATAGAGTCAAGGGTGTTATAATCTTTTTGGGGACTCGGTTACACATGTATAAGACAAGTAATAAATAAAACAAATATATTATATATTAAAAATCTTACGGATCAAAATAATAAAAACAACATAAAAATCACTTAAAAGATGTATATTTGGGTCCAAAAAAATTGGGGGACGTGTTTCATATGACACATTGGAACACCCTTCCGCACGGCTCTAAGTAGGGTGCAAAGAGAGTGTGATGCACACTAATCTTACCTCCATCTTAAAGAGTAAAAAGGTTGTTTTTATGAAGACCCCGGTCCAACTTCTAAAAGGGTATTCTTGGAATACAAAAATGTTGAAAAAAGGAAGCAAAAATCTGAATTTTTGAACAATTTGAATTCAAACATGCATCTTTCCCCATTAGATATCATTTGAAATTGTTAAAGATTTATTTTTCTTGCCACAAAACTGGAAATAGTGTCAATGTTGAGGGTTTCCAAGACGTTTAACTAATAGTCAAACATGTATAAACTATGTGCTCAGTCAAACGTTGCATAAGATGTAATACAAAATGGTAGCAAGAAAAGTTGTGTTTTTTGAAATTTGTTAAAAAATTATGAAATCTCGTTCTAGAGAAAAGAGCCAATGTGGGACTCTTAAAGCTCCCAAAGTGTCAAGAGAGGGCTAGTGAGTAGTATCTCTAGGGTTAGTGGGTAGTGTTGACCTAGAGTGATAAACATTGTCTTTAGTGGGTAGTGTTGACCTAGAGTGATAAACATTGTCTCTCATACCATGTAAGGATAAGTGGAACCAAGTTATTTACTCTCCAAAAGATCTCTTGTATACAGAAAAAGGATTCCGATATATATTTTGAAGATAGGTCCAAGGCTGGTAAATGTGGGAATCTAAAAGAATTTATGAGAGGAAAAAACATGTTGATATGATTTCATTGATTCGTAAGACTTACCACAGAATCATCGGCTGTAGTCGCTATTTTACCAATCTCAGATGAGCACCTGAAAATGCATAAAACCAAGGTAAGTCTGCATACATCTTTGAAGTATAAAAGAAACAATGACAACCCTGGGGCACCAAGGCTCCTCAGCTCTGCAAGGCATGCGGAGGAAAATCATAGTATGCAGCACTTTTCTTGCATTTTGTAAAGCTGACTTGTGACTTAAACCCATGATTCACAGATGAATAGCCTTAGTTATTGCTCCTAAACCCATGATTCACAGGTGAATAGCCTTAGTTTTTACACCAGGGATCATCCCTACAAGATGATAGAAGTGATATAGTTTAATGAAATGCATACCAATCTACTGCGGTTACTTCTCCACCATGCCCATTGAGCTTGATAGGATCTGCTTGAGGTTTATCCACCTGTTTTGAAATATCCAACACTTATATAGTGCCCAAACGTAAAGATGGAAAAGCGTTATCTAGAAGAGGATCTACCTGCCATACATAGGCATTTCCGTCACTAGAACCACTAAGTATATGGGCTGCATCAGGACTCAATGATGACTGCAAATTTCGGCATAGAGACCGTTTAGTTGTTAGCTAAAGCAAAAATACAAGATTTATCAAAAGAGAGATGGTTGGAAGCAATGCTTACTTTAACAAAAAATGTACTAATATCACATCCTGAGAAACTCTTTACAGGCCCATCCTCAAGCCGAAGTACATTGTAGAGATATATCCTGTAGAAAGCCATGGTAACTAATCAAGAAACAAGAACAAAAGAGAGTATATAGAACAAATCTTTAGAGCCAAGATGACACTTCAGAATTGAATGGAAGCTCATCAGCTGTGGTTTAAAGAACTCAGGAACAGCTATTCATACATGGAGATTAAACTGTCCCATGATCAAAGATACAAAAAACTAGCTTACGAGGATAAGGGCATCTTATTAGCAATCTTACTGAGCTTAATGAGACTCACAGCTTATTCAGTTAGCTATACATGACTCTTTGGTAGTGACTTAATGATATACAAAGCAGATTATCCAGTAAGCTTTTAAGGAGAATTTTATGCAGAAAGCTAAGTTTTTTTCCACACCCGTCTCTCCCAAATAAAGAGCACACTTCTTACATCTATGAAAAAGGACTCCCAAACAAAAACCTCCCAATTTATTCAGACAGATTAATCCACACAAACAGCTTTATTCATGCACGACTTAATGGAAAACCAACCAAAGAGCCTGAGTTATCACGCAATAATGTGTATAACTTCTCTCAAAAGAAATGTAAAGATTGAAAAGCACAAATAGTAAAGCTGTTAAGACGTTAAAAAGCTACCTGCTGTCCATGCACGAAGCTGAAATATATACTCCGTTTAAATCCTGGGACAAGCTAGATATGCCATGTGATCTCACCTGATATTTAGACTGCAAATTAAATATTCAAGTACATGTTGTATCAATGTACATTGCCAGCAAAAGAACTCTACTTCCCCACATATGGAGATGGCATATTGCCTTGTTGGGAATCACAATGGTTTCTATCAATCTAATGTACACTGATATATGTTTTAAATTTTAGATATGGATACATACCCACTTCCTTGGTCTGTTATCATGAGACCAGACCTTAGTAACTGGAGCAGTAAGGTTTCTTGTATCCCAAAACATTACAACACTGGAACAAAGCAACATTGATATGATTACAACCCAAAACAAGTCATCAATGCCCTAATTTTAAATGAACTTGCAAATGTAATGTAGTAGCCTCCTGCACACCTGTCTGCTGCTCCAGCAGTAGCAATGGAAACCTCATCTTTCAGATAGAGAACTGATGTAATGCTCATGGAAGCAGCCTGTAGTAAATATACACTTAGTTTAGAATTCAAGTAGATTGGAGTTTGTAGTGAGATAAAAATGTCTTGGAACTAACCTTGCCATGCCGACCCCGTGCTTTATTATTTGAACTATGAGCCCCAGGAACAACTGATACTGGCCTGAAATTATAGTGTTACTCAGCATTGATTGATATTAAAAGCATGATCACTATGGATATAGGCATTCCAATCTTTTTGGAGGCCTTGTTAAACTTGTACCAAGACAATAAATCAACCAATTATAAATAACACAAAGTATAAAAGTTCATCATCTATTGTGAAAGTCACTTAAATAGATTCATTCTTGGAAAGCCAAAATTGGAAATTGGAAATTGTCAAATTGACTAAAAATGTAAAAGGCTCAAGCATTACATTTCAACTAAAACATTATAATTGAAGTAAAGGTTAAAAGAAATATAATTAACTAAATACTGAGACATGTATAATTGGCCCCAAAAAATTTGGAGACCGTGTTCCATATTGGAACACTCTCATGCACGATTCTAATTATGGGGATAGGTATGGGGAACTTACGAAGTAGAAAAGTGGTTCCGCCTACGTTTAGAGCTCCGTAAGTCCCATAAAGCAAAAGAACCATCTCTTGAACCCGATACAATCATATCTGTTGAACACCAACAAACACAAAGAACCAAAGCTTAGGGTCAGCATCCAGTTCCTTTCAGGTGGAAATAATAAGTGAAAGAAAACAAGCATACCATAATTAGAGGGGTGGGCACTGATGGATTTCACACTTCCAGTGTGTCCAGTCAGTACTGCAAGATCTTTTCTTTCTTCGCTGTCCCATAACTTTATCTGTACAGAGTCCATAAACAATAGATATCATCAGTCAACTGGGTATAACAAGATATAAACAAAAATATCTAAAATTTATACTAGTTACTCACACTATGATCACCACAAGCTGTCAGTAAATTGGTATCATCCTGCAAAAATTGAATGCCATTCACATCATTTAATTACAATAAATGATCTTCAAGCCACAAAATTACAATTACCAACAAATCAAATGATCTGAAAAGATTAAATAGTTTGAGTCTTCTGTACCTTAATCCAACATACATCAAAGATTGCATTGTCATGAGCAAGCCACTCACATATCCTGGCTTTATCTGCAAAAAATACCAGAGTTTCTAAACTACATTCTAGCAGAATAGGCATCAATTATATAATATGATCAGTAAATGGATCTTCACCTGCATTTTCATTTTCAGTTGCTGAACAAGAATATTTGAATCGAGTATTGTATAAGCTAACATAGCCATCCTCACCGGTGACAGCAAGTATATGCGCATTTCTGCTTGTCTGCAAAATTTGTGTTCAAGAATTTGGTTCAACAAAAACCACACATATACATTATTTTCCCCCATTAGCTTCATAACTATACTAGTATTAACGTTTCACGGTCTATTCATTTTAAGAATTTTTCTAAATTTCCCCTTATTAGAAAATAATACAGCTAAAACACCAATATACTTGTGTAAAGGTAAAACCGATTGAGTTACGAGTGAAATCAAACCTTGCAAAACGATAAAGCCATTGGAGGAGTAACATTGTCCTCGTCAAGTCCAAATGCAAATTCTCCAATTATACTATATGTCCTAAGTACGTCGAGCACACACGGTCGCTTTCGTGCTGAAGAAAACATATACAAAACATTCACTTCGCCGATTTAAACAACCATAAAATACGTAATAACTTCAACAAATTTCCAATATGAAGACGAATAATCCAATTGTAAACAATCTGGCTCATTTTTGAAATCGATACAGTATTAATGAAAAGATAAGAACTGGAAAAGCTACCTCTGAAGCCATCGAGCTCACTGGATCTGATGTTTTGGAAGGCAGATTGATTTGTGGAGCTATCCATCTGCAAACTCCTGTGCTTTTCTTCAAATGCAGAGAGAGATTGAAGGAGAGATTTAGGAGTATTTAGTGGAATTTTAGGCTTTGGCGGGTGGTGGAAGGCGGAAGATCGACGGCGGGAAAAGTTTTGAAATTTTTTTGCGTTCCCGGCGGTGACCTCCCGCTACTTTTTTTTCTATTAAGAGAAAATTACATTTATAGTCCCTGTGGTTTGTTAAAAATTACAATTTTCGTCCTTATGGTTTGTTAAAAAGTACGGTTTTTGTCCCTATGGTTTGTTAAAAATTATGATTTTTGTACCTGTGGTTTGGAAGTTAAGCTTTTCATCCCTATGGTTTGTAAGTTATTGCTTTTTTAATCCTTATGATTTACAATTTATTGGTGTTTCAGTTCTTGTGACTTAAATTCTTTATAATTTTGGTCTCTTACACTTTAAAGTAGGAATTAGCCTAGGGGTAGGGGTGCTCAAAAACCCGACTCAACTTGATCAACCCAACGCAACCAAAATAACTCAACTCGATGTTTAATCGAGTTGAAAAATCTTCAACCCGTTGAGAATTAGATTGATATTTAGTTACTTTTATTTAAACTCAACTCAACCCGATGAACCTGGTATTTTTTTATTTCTTAGATTTAATATGATTATTGAATCTCTATTAATATGTATACTAAACAATTACATCATCACATACCCTCTTTACATATATATATTTTCAATTTATTCATCTCAATATACCTCATATATATATAGAGAGAGAGAGAGAGTTTGTTTCAAATACAACATGTTGCATTTGTACAATCAATGCAACCCAATAAATTGAGATATTTATGAAAATAATGAGAGTTTATTTATTATGGTTTGAATATTTATGGAAGATGAATATGGTTCATTAATTATGATCAATACTTTATATTAGGAAACAATCAAAACTTCTATAAAATCACATATTAATCAAATGAAATTGACAGTTGAGATTGGGTTGTATTGGTTGCACAAATGTCATGGGTTGTATAATAACTAACATATTTCTCTCTCTCTCTCTCTCTCTCTCTATATATATATATATATGTGTGTGTGTGTGTGTGTGTGTGTGTGTGCAGGTTGATAAATTAACTGAATATGACATACTTATTGTATGTATATGCAGGTTGAGAAATTAACGAAATATAACATACTTAATATTTAAGAAGTATGGATAAGTTGTACCAAATATTTAATGATAGAATAGAAAATTATGAGTTGGTTATATAAAACAATATATATTCAATGTTAAGAAAATATTTCGATGTACTAGAGTATCAACCCGATCATCCCTTACGGTTTGGGTTGAGTTAGGTTGCACTTGGTTTGGTTTGGGTTGAATTGAGATTTTTCAAGTTGCAAGCATTTGGTTGAATTGTTCAAATGTCTTCAATTCTATCGACTCAACCAGTGAACACCCTAGTCTAAGGATGAAAACAAACAATAAATTGCAAATCATAACAACTAAGATTGCAATTTCCAAATCCTAGAGATGAAAATCGAAATATTAACAAACCAGCGGGACAAAAATCATAATTTACTATTTCTTTCGAGTAAATTACATATTTAGTCCTTGTTTGTTAAAAGTTATCACTTTTGTTCGTTTTTTGTACTTAATAAGTGAAGTTTTAAACATTTAAATATCCGGGTAACCGGTTGAAGCATTATCCTGTGGTTAGTGACATAAAATTTTTTAATCTAAAATTAGTATTCAACCGGTTATCTGGGTACTTAAATGTTTGAAATTTTACATCTTATGCACAAACATGGAAGTTTTAAATGTATGTTATCCAAAATATGAATCAACTTAAAGTACGTTACTTTTTCGTACAATTTACCCTTGCTATTAATATTAAAATAGTGTTGTGATGGTCAAGCTATATAATACTTTAATAATATAATTAATTTTGAAATCTTTAAAGTTAAAAAAAAAAAAGTTTGTTGGAGTTGAATATGTTTTTAAAAATTTTAACTTTTAGATTTTTTATATTACAAAAATTATAGAGAATCTATCGGAGATATAACCAAAAAAAACAATCTACCCCACTAGTCAATGGGCGGGCCCAGATGTACTTTATTTGGTATTTTAATGTTGTATTCATGAATCCACCGACCGGTATACTAAAATCCGGCTTTTTAGTCTCTCGGGACAAGGGTAACGTGTATGGTAAGGGAAAAAATAAAAATATTTTAAAATAACTATCGATTGAAGGAGCTGATAGATCAAACAACCAGATAATTAAAGGGCTACGAAACCAAAAGCTAAGATGTGTTTACTGTTTACATTTTGTATCCTACAAACCACAGTAACTTGTATATATATGTTGTGTAACGAATATGGTGTTAAAATCGTTGTAAAATATTAAATGGTTAAAATTTGTGTGTTTTTTTTAAACAATAATGAACGAAAACAATCGTGCATATATGGTGGTAAATGATCGGTATTAATAACATATAAGATCAGATGAACGTTAGGGGCAGTCAAATCCATGGTTTATATAGATCGGAAACACAATCGAAAGCAAAATAGAAAACAGATCGTCAATCGACTCCTTATTTAGTAAATAGAATCTAAAACGTAAAAGGATAATCATACCTGTCGCAATCAGGTTTGACAAAGGTCAGAGAGTGCGGCGGACACTACGAGAAAGGAGGGTGTGAGAATGGTCCGCTTCTAGTCCTTTCTATTTTATAACGTATCTGATAAAAGGGCATTTTGGTAATTATACATGTAAAGACGCAGATATACCTGTTTTTAGGTATTTATGTATATGCAGGGTTTTACGGGCCTAAATAGAGATCCAGTACATGTGTTTATATGGGCTTGTATGCTTATCTGGGGCGCGATTGAACGATCCACTTAGTTTACGTTGAAATTGTTTTATGGCTTACGTTTACAGTTGTAGTTGTCGATCATATATTCCTTTTTGTTCCCTAAATCCATACAATAACTTCAATTACTTTACATTATTTTTGTAAATCATATGGTCATCAATCCGACTCTCCCTTGATTTGTCATTGTATATCAATTGGTTATCCGTTATTGATTTGGAGTTGCGTCACACACAAACACTTGTATCATCTCCGCTCCAGTAAGTTGTAACCCAGGTTCTTTTATGCATGTATTAGTTGGATTGAGATATCGAAACGTTTTCAAACCAGTCAAACTCAACTCATCTACAACCCTAACGACACACCTCTACCTAGAGTTAGCCATAAACCTGTCCTGAAACGATCCCAAATTCGCTCCTTAAAAAACGAGCAGGGCGGTCCCTGTCCTGATCCCGACTAATAATCCAGGATCTATGTAGGCATGGTTACTGGTTCGTGCACCACTCAATTTTTCGTCCCTGTGGTGTAGAAATTGCAGTTTTCGTCCAAATGGGTTGTAATTCACTGTTATTTTCGTACTTTAGAATTTGCTATTTACGTTTATTCATTGCAGTTTTTGGTCCATGTGGTTTACAACTCTTTAATGTTTTGGTTCTTCGTACGTACAAGTAGGAATTAGCCTAGAACGAAAATGAAAAATTTACAAAACCATAGGGACTAAAATCACAATCTCTAAACCACAAGGACGAAAATAGTAAATATTCACAAACTACAGGGACAAAAATAATAATTATTCACAACTAAAATCATTAATTAAATTAAAATTATAGAATTTCTTTTTACCACTTAAGTTTACCCAGTTTTAATTTTGTTATATTATTTGTTACAAATAAAATGACAAGGGTGGTTTTTTTCACTGGACAAATTGTATGAAAAACAACGTACTTTAACTTGATTCATATTTTAAGTAATGTATTTTTAAAAATTTTCATTTTGATATTTAAGATGTAAAATTTTAAATATTTAAGTACCTACCGGTTGAAGCATTAACCAGTTATCATGCTGATGTGATGAGTGATATAATATTCAACTCATTATTATTTGTTGATGTGATTAGTGACATGAATTTTTTTTAAAAAATCTAAAAGTAATCTTCAACCAGGTATTTAAATGTTTAAAACTTTACATCTTAGGTATCAAAATAAAGTTCTGAAAGTACGTTACTTAAAATAAGAATCAAGTGAAAGTACGTTACTTTTTCATGCAATTTACCATTTTATATTCATCTTGTCCATTCGTTTATCTTCGTTCATTTAACATATTAACAAACGAACAAACACATTTTCTTAATAAACAAACATGAACACACAAAAAATTCGTTTTTTTTAATTAACCTGGATATCCAACCCGCTATGTGAGCCGACTAATCCCAGGGGACCATATGCTTCAGAGGTAGCCCGGAGTCACTGCATTTGAACCTCCGTGGTCACAAGAGGATTTTTGTTTCTCCTTGGATGTGAACTTGAGACCTCCTGACACTTTTGATCTTTGGAGTCAAGCTCAAACCAATCATACACCATTCTTATGGTTTAAAATTTGTTATTTTACTGCCTGTATTCGTTCGATTTTTTTACAACCCCTAACGATAACGGGTTCCAAGCCCGGGCCAGGCTCAATTTAGCCGCCTCTACCCGAATAAAACAAACATGGTCATTTGGGTCTACTTTTCGGGTCAAAACATGTACTTTATACATCTGGCCCAACTCAAAAAGGACTATCTATTAACCTGTTATCCTCTGAACAGTGGGCCCATTGCTGACCTCAATAATGAAAACCACCGCCGGCCACCACACCACCACCGTCCTCTCACAACCAATCACGGCGGAACATAATAACATTGGAAACCCAAAACCCAAATCGCGCGGGAAAGAGAGCCGTTGTTGAATTATGGCGCCAAATTTTTCTTCATTTTGCTGCCCGGAAATTTACGGGCAAACAGAATCCTAAGCAAATTCGTTTTTAGGGTCTCATTTATATATATATATTATATATATATATATAAACCCCACTTTCTCTCTCTTTATCCTTTACCGCCTCCATTTTCAAAGCTTCCAAAAACCCTTCATTCTGCATATATTCTTATATTCTTCACTTGTTCTACAATCTTGGTTGCTAAATTGCATCAAAAGTTTGATTTTTGATCTGGGATTTGTTCGAAAAGCAATCTTTATCGAGTTTTCGATATGGGTTTTTCGAAAAAGCATCAAGTAGATGGGGAATCTTTAGAAGGGAAGAAATGGGTGATTGCTGGAATCGCCATGAGAGCTCCTTTGAGGTCTATAGTTACAAAAAAGGTGAAAGAAGACGATGAGAACTCAAATTCCAACTCCGGCGACACCACTCCGACGTCGAAAGACTCAATGATACCGGAGATGTTGCCGTGTCCGCCGCCGCCGAGGAAACGCCGGCCGGTGACCACTTGTTATAGTGGAAACAGGGAGTTTTTTACTTCACCGGATTTGGATTCTTTATTCAAACTCCTTTCAAATGCAGGAAAAGCCAATTAAATTTCTTGCCTTTTTTAGGGTTGTTTTCTATATCCCATCTTTGTTTTTCTTCACTAGTTTTATTAGCTCTTTTTTTAGGGTTTCTTAGATTTTTTTTTATTAACCTGAATATCCAACCCGTTGTGCAAGCCGACTAATCACAGTGCAACCACCTGGTTTGCAGATAGCCCGGGTTTCTTAGAATTAGTGTTTGTGTTAGAAGCATGTACAAAAATAGTAGTATATGATTCTTGATGGAGAGTAGTCAAATAGGTAGTTTAAGAGGTTAGGTTTTGGGTTCAATGAGATAGTCTTGCTCTTATGGGTTTGTTTCAAGTTTGAGGCTTTTATGTTTCTTGGGTTCTTTTTTGAACTCTCAACCTTTTAAACCCTAAATGGCAAATGGGTTATTGTCACAAGGGTTAAAGAGCTCTTTTGTGGCCAAGTTTGATGCTTTATGTTTGTATGTGTGGAAATTTACAAGTGGGTTCTTCACCCAATGCTTTTGAATGATCTTGTTTTCTTCTTATTACTAAGTGCTTAATCAAAAAGCTTGTTATTCCATACATAAAGATTGTTTTGTTTTCTTTGCTTGTTGAATTACCCTTTTAAAACCAACTTATGGTTTCCCTTTTTGAAACCAAGTGGTGAAATAGGGTTTGAGGGTTTAACATCTCTTAGAAAATAAACAACACAAACACTTAAGATGTAGATAACATTTATGGGTTGTTTGGTTTGTTTTTCTTCAAGTCATTTATGGGAGTTTTGTATGTGCGGAGTAATTTGTTTGTATAAATTGAAAAGATATTCTTTGGAGGGCTTTTTTCATAAATGGAAAAAACGTATTTTTAAATGGGAGTAGATTTAGAGAAAAAAAAACTTGGTTTTCTTCATAAAACTCCCCCTACAAGCTTATTTAATAAGTCATTTTTTTATGTCATTAAGCTGCTATCAACTTGTCATTTATAGTTGATCGAATAAGCTGTAACTCCTATTAAGCTACTAACAAACATGTCTTACCCATGTTTCAATATAGTCAGAGAAACAAATATACATAACTTTTTTCAAATGAAAATGATACTAACAAGATTCGAACTTGAGTCCAAGGTGAAATAAAAACATTGCAAACTAATTTTACCAAATAAAACTTGTTCTCGTTGTAGTTTTAAAATACATAGGATGACACACAACAAATTGATACGGTTGCATCTTGCACAAACCTGAAACTTTTACCCTTTGACGGAGGAATACTATGGTGGCACGTGCCACCTTATGCTCCATACCAGATTTGTCATTGTCTCACACACACACACATATACATATATATATATATATATAGAGAGAGAGAGAGAGAGAGAGAGAGAGAGAGAGAAAGAGAGAGAGTTTGGTTCAAATACTAACTAATTTTTTTGTGTTAGCTATGTTAACCAAACTCAACCAATTATATTCCATCTTTTCTTTTGGTTCAAATGTAACTCATATATTAAATACAAGATTTGTCATTTTATATAACTCCCAAATAATTAATTGGAGTTACAAATTTGAAAATATCACAATTAATCATGATGCAATATTGACATTGGGGTTTCACACGTGTTCGTATTCTATAATTCACATTTATTTTAATCGATAGTTTTCATCTTTGACATATGAACTAATAGAGTTTAACTAAATGCCCGTCTTTCCCCCTCTCTTGTATTGCAATATATAAACATGGATGTTACAAAATAGTCCCTTGGACTATACAAAGAATACCAACTAACTACCTGGAACTATACAAAGAATACCTTCTAGTCTAATATGAACACATCGGAAATCACACAGCATTAGATGCCGTGATTCATAAGTGTTCATGTATATTCAAGTCACTAGATGTTCATATGAATACATATACACACACAGAACATGTGAACACGTATGAAACACACACAGCCCTAGATGTCTTGGTTCATAGGTGTTCATGTACATACAGCAGAATTGACTCCTGAATATACAGAAGATGTTCATACGATTCACATGTCTAATCTTTTTTTTTGATGTGGTTTGAAGATATATACAAGTTGTTCATATGTCTGACAACTCGTGTATCAAAGATATATTACTTTTTACCTAAATACCCTTT